CAAGAGCTGGGTTATCACCTCTCCTTGCTTCTGACTGAAATATGCGAGCGTTCAAATGGGGACGTTATCCGGAGCACGCTCAACAACACACACACACACACACACTGCCGTGCAAAACCCCACGTTTTATTTCATTCCCTAGTTAACCTCCGGATAAATAAATACTAATAAAAATAATAAATACAGAAAGCCAGCCTGCTTAGCAACTGTTTACACGCTCATTACGCTGTAACGATGATGATGTGCGTGGCTGGGGTGGTGTGTGTGTGTGTGTGTGTGTGTGTGTGTGTGGGAAACCCAGCCAGTACCAAACCACCCCCAATTACAAGTGATGGGTAGAAAAAGCTCGTGTAAATAAATATTTAAGCAAGATCCTCAGCAGAACCATCTGCTCGGGCACCAATAATAATAAATAAGGAGTCCAAGGGAGGGAGGGGAAAAAAAAGAGAAGAAATGTAAATACGGAGCAAGAGGAAAAAGTTAAGAGTCTTCCTCTAAATCTCGAAGAAGCTAAACGAGTCAATCAAGGCAATTTCTTCCGCCGCTGGCTTTCGCCTGTTAAGCACGTTGTGCTCCGCAGATATAACGCAATCCCCTCTCTGCACGGGACACACAGGGCACACGGGTGTATTAGATGAACTGACAGGGGCTGGACAAGATGGGTTAGGGTCCTGGCTGCCAGGAGACGGCCAGGCCACGAAAGGTAAGCGGGGGGGGGGGTCATGGAAGCAACTCTGGCGATCTCCCCGGATGCTCCATGATTCCTCCAGACGGTTCCCACACGTGTTACGCTTCAGATGGTTTCGCGGTGAGGGGCTAAATCAAAGGGGTCTGGAAGCGGGGAAGCCAAGGCAGGGCAGGCGGAACAGGATCGGTGTCACTGGCAAAACTGATACTGTCCCGGGCCTGGCCTGGCCTGGGGAGACCTTGGCCCAAGAGACCTTTTTTCTCTCTCTCTCCTTTGACTTTCAACCCCTAGCCGGAGTTGCTAATCTCCAGGAATGCAGTTCTCCTGGAAGCAGAGAGAGAGAGAGGGAAAGGGGAAAAGAGAGAGAAAGGGAAAGAGAGAGAGAGAGGGAAAGAGAAAGGGAAAGAGAGAGAGAGAGAGAGAGAGAGAGAGAGAAAGAGAAAGGGAAAGAGAGAAAAATAAAGAAATAGAGAGAGAAAGAGAGAAAGGGAGAGAGAGGGGGGGAAAGAGAGAGAGAGGGAAAGAGAGAGAAAGAGAAAGGGAAAGAGAGAGAAAGGGAAAGAGAAAAAGAAAGAGAGAAAGAAAGAGAGAGGGAAAGAAAAAGAAAGAGAGAAAGAAAGAGAGGGAAAGAGAGAGAAAGAGAGAGAAAGGGAAAGAGAGAAAAAGAGAAAGAAAGAGAGAGAGAGAGAGGGAAATAGAGAGAGAGAAAGAGAGAGAGAAAGGGAAAGAGAGAAAGAGAGAGAGAGAGAGAGAAAGGGGAAAAAAAGAGAGATGCTTTTGCAGCTGGCAAAGGACAAACCCTTGTCTTGTGCGAGAGACGGCTTAAAATAATGAGCTTATGACTGCTAATCAAGCCGGCCCCACTGTCTGATTTAAGGGCCCCAAGGGGAAGGACTTCGGGCAGGGAAAACAATGAGCAGAAGAAAGTCTCAGGGTGTGTGTGTGTGTGTGTACACACGCACACGGGGACATGCATCGGAGTTGCCCTTCAGATGCAGCAAGGCAAAAATTACCGATGTGGCTTAGAATCAATTCTGATCTTAAAAGAGGGAGGCAAGGAGGAAAAGAGAGAGAGAGAGAGAGAGGGAAGGAGAAATTAAACACCTGATTACTTTGCTTAGACCACCCTCATTGTGGCTACCTGCTTGGATAATGTCTGGTTAAATGTGCTGTTAAATCATTTACAGCTGGAGATGGGTTTTCAGGGAGCTGAAGGGCAATTTGGAAACAGGAGAACGATCTGCCCAGCGAGCCGGCCTTCCTCAATCCGGGCACCCTCATCCAGGGGTTAGGCTGCCCCCCTTTATTGCCTCCACCTTTCTGGCTGGGGATGATGGGAACTGGTGGGAGTGCAACCCACCTGAAGGGGTAGAACATGGAGGAGGCTGGTATATTGTGTGCTGTTATCCCAATTTGTCCCTTGCAAATAGATCTGGTGTGTGGGTGTGTGTGTGTGTGTGTGTGTCATATCATTTTGAGTCACAAAACACACCATGCCATGTATGGAAAGCAGATGGTTTTTTTCCCCTAAGAACGACGCCATTCTGATTTTGGCTTTAAATTATTCAGATGAAAAGATGCTGGAATTGGGTCTGTCTAGTTTCATGAAGAGAAGGACAAGGGGGGACAGGATAGCAGTCTTCCAGTATCTCAGGGGCTGCCCCAAAGAAGAGGGAGTCAAGCTATTCTCCAAAACGCCTGAAGAAGGCAGGACAAGAAGCCACGGATGGAAACTAACCAAGGAGAGAAGCAACCTGGAACTAAGGAGGAATTTCCTGACAGTGAGAACAATTAACCAGTGGAACAACCTGCCTCCAGAAGTTGTGAATGCTCCATCACTGGAAGTTTTTAAGAAGAGACTGGACAGCCATTTGTCTGAAATGGTATAGGGTTTCCTGCCTGAGCAGGGGGTTGGACTAGAGGACCTCCAAGGTCCCTTCCAACTTTATTATTATTATTATTATTATTATTATTATTATTATTATTATTATTATTATTATTATTATTATTATTATTATTATTACCACCAAACTGAATTACGATGGGGAGACTTATGAAACCTCCCAGTCCCAGCCAGAAGTTCCTAAACCGGTGGCCCAAATTCCCAATGAATGCCACAGTGTCTCAGTGAATGCAACAGTGGCTCAGGATAACGTTCCTATGGAGAGCTAGGCATGAAAGGGGCAAATTTTGGGTAGTGAACCAGCAGAATTGGAGAAGAAAAATTTGATTGCAATAAGGCAATTTATTTATTTATTTATAATAGTATATATATTATATCAACTTAAGTCCCTGACTGAAATAAAGGGGTGTACCCTGATCTGACTAATTTGGGGGGGTGGGGTGGGGTGGCAAACTCAGCTCAGGCCCTTTGCCTGCGGTGAAACTTGGCTGGGAGGAGAGAAACCTGTTGGAAGGGGCACCACCAGGTGACTTCCATCTAGAATGGAATCTGTGCAGATTAATTTAGGCAAAGTTTCTTCTGATGAGAAGCTTCTAGCCCAGTGTTTCTCAACCTTGACCATTTTAAGGCATGTGGACTTCAACTCCCAGAATTCCACAGGCTGTGGAATTCTGGGAGTTGAAGTCCACATGCCTTAAAATGGTCAAAAATGGTCAAAACCTGTCTCCTGCTTGGCAGCCTGCGGCTCCGGAGCCACATGTGGCTCTTTGAGCCTTCCCCTGCGGCTCCCAGCCTCCTCCGCCATTTGCAGAGAGAGACAGAGACAGAGAGAGGCCCTTGCGTCTGAAATGGTATAGGGGGTTGGACTAGAAGACCTCTTAGGTCCCTTCCAACTTTATTATTATTATTTCTCTCTCTCTCTCTCTCTGTGTGTGTGTGTGTGTGTGTGTGTGTGTGTGTGTAAGTAAGTAAGTAAGTAAGTAAGTAAGTAAGTAAGTAAGTAAGTAAGTAAGTAAGTAAGTAAGTAAGTAAGTAAAAAAGAGAGGGGACTCACGGCCTCCTCCCACGAGGTGAAAAGCTTACTGGGCGTGGCTCCTCCCTCGGCTGCGTCTCTGCAGGAAGCAGGAAGGGGAGGAGCTAGCTAGCCCAGCCATGCTGGCTCAGGAATTCTGGGAGTTGAAGTCCAGGAGTCATAAAAGAGCCCAGGTCGCCTCCCCCCCAGCTGGTTGGAGAACAGCTTGAAGCCAGCTGGCCAGGTGAGCAGAAGATGGGAGAGAAGGAGGGAAGAGAGAAAGAGAGAGAAAGAGAGAAAGGGAAAGAGAGACTGGCAGACTAAGAGCAGAAAGAGAGAGGGAGAGAGGGAGGGAGAGACAGAGACCCTTTTGATATCTAAAATGAAGATAACACTGCATATATCCTTTTTTACCTTTATTATATATATATACCTTTATTATATATATACATATATATATATATATATATATATATATATATATATATATATATATATACACACACACATATATACACACACACATATATACACACACACATACACACATATACATTATACATATACATATATATATATATATATACACATACATACACACACCTATAATAAAGGTAAATAAGGATATATGCAGTGTTATCTTCATTTTAGATATCAAAACGGTTTTGCGGCTCCCAGTGTTTTGTTTTCGGTGGGAAGCGGGTCCAAGTAAGTGTTTTGGGTCGCCTACCCTTGGTCTAGAAGACCTCCAAGGTCCCTTCCAGATATATTCTAATTGATTGAGCGAGTGAGTGACTGAGTGAAATGGTCTAGGGTCTCCTGCTTGAGCAGGGGGTTGGACTAGAAGACCTTCAAGGCCCCTTCCAGCTCTACTCTGATTGATTGATTGATTGATTGATTGATTGATTGATTGATTGATTGAGACGGTCTAGGGTCTCCTGCTTGAGCAGGGGGTTGGACTAGAAGACCTCCAAAGTCCCTTCCAGTTCTACTCTGATTGATTGATTGATTGATTGATTGATTGATTGATTGATTGAGACGGTCTAGGGTCTCCTGCTTGAGCAGGGGGTTGGACTAGAAGACCTCCAAAGTCCCTTCCAGCTCTACTCTGATTGATTGATTGATTGATTGATTGATTGATTGAGACGGTCTAGGGTCTCCTGCCTGAGCAGGGGGTTGGACTGGAAGACCTCCAAGGCCCCTTCCAGCTCTACTCTGATTGATTGAGAGGGACTGAGCAGGAAAGATGGCGGTCACAGCAGTGGGGGAGCCAGTGTGGACGTCAGAGAGAAGGGACCCTGAGCGGCGGCTTACACCGCCCCCAAGACGGGCAGTTGCAGCCCCCTCCACCCTCTCCCCACACCCCAAGGCAGACCAGGGAAGGGGCATCGGCCTACCTGGCAATATATTTCTGGTAAATATTTACATCTTCGGTGACAGCTGGTTTGTCAGTGGTTAATCCATTCCTAATGAGAAGCACACACAGGGCAGAGATGGTTAGCACCAGGCGGTATCAGGAGATGCATCCAACCCCCCCCCCCAGTTTCCCCCCCCCAAAAAATAAACTGCATCCAAAAACATGGCTCAGGGGGAGGACCTGCGTTTCCTCATCACTGGCTTGCTAAGGGACATTTCACCCCAGTTCACCAACAAGTCCTTTGTCTCCAGGCTTATAAAAACGGCACCTTATCCCTGCATGCAAGCCGAGAAAATCTGCACCAGATCAGCCACCAAACCTGGATGGAGTTTTCCAGGAGGACAGGCAGGCAGGGGGGAGCATTTCCCAAGATTTTTGATCTTTTTGAAGCTGGAGATGCCAAGGATCCCTCCATCCTTTGGCCTTTTCTATGCCCAACTGGACCAGGATGTCCAGCCTGCAGCTTCCTTCGTGGCCCATTTGCAAGCGGAAGAAAAAGTAGGATTCCCCCCCCCCCATTAACGCTCACTTAGTCCAAGTGGGGCTGTGGCCTCCCTCTTTGCCTAATCGTCCCTCTTTTTTTTTTTTTTTAATCCGCTGCCTGCGTTGGCTGTTGGGCGTTAAGACACAAGGTAAATAAGGAAATATCTCACACTGAACGCTCCTTAAAGTCCAGAATTCTTGGCTTAGTCCTTGCAAGGATTCTTATGAAGTGATGGCCCAGAGGTAAGCCACACCCAAAATCACGGTGATGTCTTTCGCTCTACCCACCCGCCCCAATTTTACCTGAACTCTGTGTGTGTGTGAGAAAAAGAGGGGAGAAGGGAGAAAGGGGAAGGGAGGAGAGGAGAAGAGAGGAGAGGAATGGAGATGAGAGGAGAGGAAAAGAATGAAAGGAGGATAAAAGAATGAGAGGAGAGGAGAGGAATGGAGAGAAAAGGAGAAGAGAGGAGAGGAAAAGAATGAAAAGAGAATGAAAGAATGAAAGGAGAGGAGAGGAATGGAGAGAAAAGGAGAAGAGAGGAGAGGAAAAGAATGAAAGGAGAATGAAAGAATGAGAGGAGAGGAGAGGAAAAGAATGAAAGGAGAATGAAAGAATGAAAGGAGAGGAATGGAGAAGAGAGGAGAGGAGAGGAAAAGAATGAAAGAATGAAAGGAGAGGAGAGGAGAGGAAAAGAATGAAAGGAGAATGAAAGAATGAAAGGAGAGGAATGGAGAAGAGAAGAGAGGAGAGGAAAAGAATGAAAGGAGAGGAGAGGAGAGGAGAAGAATGAAAGGAGAATGAAAGAATGAAAGGATAGGAGAGGAAAAGAATGAAAGGAGAATGAAAGAATGAAAGGAGAGGAATGGAGAAGAGAGGAGAGGAGAGGAAAAGAATGAAAGAATGAAAGGAGAGGAGAGGAAAAGAATGAAAGGAGAATGAAAGAATGAAAGGAGAGGAGAGGAAAAGAATGAAAGGAGAATGAAAGAATGAAAGGAGAGGAGAGGAATGGAGAGGAGAGGAATGGACAAGACAGGAGAGGAGAGGAAAAGAATGAAAGGAGAGGAGATGAGAGAAGATGAGAGAAGAGAAGAATAGGGAAGGGAAGAGAAGAGAAGATCAAGGATTAGAATGACTTGGTTGCATTGAGAGAAGAGAAGAGAAGAGAAGAGAAGAGAAGAGAAGAGAAGAGAAGAGAAGAGAAGAGAAGAGAAGAGAAGTTGTACTGAGGGACACAGACTCCTAAAAACCAAGCATTTCAGAGGCTGACAGCCTCACATCTGGCCGCCCTTGACATGCTCTTGTCTGAGACGGGTGATTTAAAAGATCTGGGTGCCTCACAGCTGGTTTGGCGATGAAATGACTGTCTCAACGGCCTGGATTCAAGCCAAGTCCCACTCCAGCCCACCAAGGAATCGGTGACAGAGAATCCGAAACGGCCACGCAACAGAGCGGGCACCTGCTCGGCTGGTGGTAATGCATCCCGCTTGGGTGTTTTCTTCGACGTTGCTGGAGCTCCGATTTTCATGATTTTAGCTGGCCTTTGTTTTTATTCCCTTCGGCCAGCACTTTCCCTCTCCCCACCCCTCCCTCCCTCCCTCCCTCCCTCCCCAAAGCATGGAATTATCAGAGAAGCAAAATAAATCAGGAAACAGAACAGTTGCTATCATTAAGGACGGGATGTGGGGCGAGCAGACTTTGGACTCCCTGGAATTTCCTTGCGTAAGCCCTGGAAACCATGATCCAGCCACTTGCATCCCGGGCAAAAACGGGGGCATCGATCCCTGAGAACTAAAGAGCAGGGGGTTTTCCGAGTACAGATAGTCCTCGACTTACGGCGACAACTGAGCCCCCCAAATCTCTTGTGGTTTAAAGTGAGACGTTTGTTAAGTGAGTTTTGCGTCGCCCCGTTTTACGACCTTCCTTGCCCCCGCTGTTAAGCGAATCACTGCAGGGGATAAGTTAGTAACCCGGTTGTTAAGTGAGTCTGGCTTGCCTTCGCTTGTCAGACGGTCGCAAAAGAGGGATCAGGTGACCTCGGGACACAGAAACGGTCATAAATACGAGGAGCGTCTGAATTTCAATCACCTGATCCTGGGGCGGTTGCCAAGGTTGTTAACTGTGAAAAACGCTCCCACGTCACTTCTTTTCGGGGCCGTCATAACGTTGAACGGTCACTAAATGAACCGTTGTAAGTTGAGGACCACCCATTATCTACTAAGCCCAAAGAGTTGAAACTAGAACCAGGACCAAGCTCAAAAGGTCTCTCCAGTGGTCTTTCCACGGCAGGACCTCGATTCCCGCAACTCCCATTTCTGGGAGGATCCCCCAAAAGAAATCCTCGCTGATTTACCTCAGGCCACCCAACCTGGCCTAAGATCCTCAGAGGAGCCCGGCTGGATCCGGCCCAAAGGCTCACGTTTTACTACTCATTGTAGCCAAATCGAACTCGGCGAAAGACCGTTTTTGTCTCGGTCCTCTCGGCCTGTTTTTATCCCTCTGCGACTAATACAGGTAAATCCTCGGCTTGGGACCACAGCTGGGCCCGAAATTTCTGTGGCTAAGCAAGACGGTGTTTTGTCCCACTTTTACGACCTTTCTTGCCACCGTCGTTAAGCGAAACACTGCAGCAGATAAGTTAGTAGCCCGGCTGTTAAGTGAATCCGGCTTCCCCCCGTTGAATTTGCTCACCGGAAGGTCGCAAAAGGGGATGTTGTGACCCACAGGGACACGGCAACGGTCATAAATACGAGTCGGTTGCCAAGCGTCTGAATTCTGATCACGTGACCACGGTCGTAAGTGGGAAAAAAGGTCCCAAATCACTTTTTTTCAAGGCCGTTGTAGTTTTTGAACAGCCGCCAAACGAAGTGCGGTAAGTCAAGAGTTACCTGTATTATGTCTCGTGTCATATCGTATTTGATCCCAGAGCTATTACTTAGTCACCTTAACTTTCTCATCCGTGAAGTTCTTTCATCTATCTTTCAACATCTTCTACTACCATCTTCCCTGTCACCCTTGGGAGCCAAAGGAGGACACGGGAGGCTTTCCTAGAGCACATCTGCAGGGTCTCCATCCCAGCAGATGTGCAGGACTGCAACGGCTTCAGCCAACCTGGTTTTTCTCAGCCCTGCACCCGTGGAGAAGGCCATGCTGGAGAAGGCTGCAAGCCTGGCAGCATTGCTCTTTTCCATGTCCCTTAAACCAGGGGTCCCCAACCCCCGGGCCATAGCCCACTACCGGGCCGCGGCCTGTTTGAAACCGGGCCGCACAAGTGCTGGGCAAGTGCATGCCCGCGAAGCTCCGCTCGTACAAGCGGAGGGTGCTCACGCGCGAAGCTCCATTCACGCCGACGGAGCTCCGCAGGCGAGCACCCTCTGTTCGCGTTGAGTGGAGCTCCGCGCGCAAGCACAAGCACCCTCTGCTCTCCCGCGTGGAACTTTGCAAGCGCTCTCCGAGCTTCCTGCGCAGGTGCAAGTGCCCGCCACTCGCGCACGTGGAGCTTTGCGCGCAAGTGCAAGCACCCTCTGCTCATGCTCAAAATCTCCAATTGGGTGAGTGGCGTATACGCGCCTGCCACTCACATGCACACCCCCTTGCGCTGGGCCGGGCCGCTAGGGTGGAAAGGTTGGGGACCGCAGCCGCGAACGGGGATCGACTTACTTAACAGTGGAAACTGTCCCAGTCGTGATGGAGTCCGTCTTGGAGAAAGTGGATTTAAGGTATTCTGGAGTGCTGAAGGGCAGAGAGGCGGGTTGCTCCGGGCCAGCTACTGGGGTGCTGCTGGGAGTGCTGGCCATAGGGTTGGGGCCCAGGCTAGGAGCTGGCGCTTTGACCGGGGTAATCTTCGGGATGTTCCTGACATCGTACTTGGATGGACGACCGACTTTGCCCGTCTTGAAGGCGATGGCTCCTCCCATGTCCGGGCTGCCTTCCCCGGGCTTGAAAAGATGCAAATATTTGACGTTCTCCAAGTCGTACTTGGACGTCTTCTTGTAGGTGTTCCCGTTCTGTGGCCGGAGACTCTCCCCTGTCTTCAGTTTCTGGATGAAGAAATCGTACTTGGAGGCCCGCGACATCAGCCCTTGCATCTGGGAGCTGCTGGACGAAGGCAGAGGCAAAATGGTGGCTTTCGTCTCCGGCAGGAGTGACGTTTCGGGGGCCGGCAACCGGAGAGCTTGGCCCAAGGCCATGGGGGCCTCTTTGCTGAGCTTACTGGTCAGCTCCTCCGTCTTAACTGGATGAATTGGCCACGGGACCTGCTCGCCAGCCTTCAACTTGCGTATGTATTCCTCGTATTTGGAAAAGCGAGCCCTCTTGCTCATGGCATCCTCGCCGGCAAGGGAGGGAGCCACCGTGGCTGGGTTGGTGGTCTCTGAGGTAGGAGCATTCAGCTTCTCAAAGCTGATCTTCCGAGCCAGCTCATCCCGCATATTCTGGTCATCGTAGCCAAACATGCCGAGGAACTCGCTCATGGTGGTAGCGGCGTAGTCTCGCAGCGATGACGCCTCCCCTGGAGGAAGTGACAGAAAAGAGAGAAAATGTGACACCCGAAGGGATATATTATTCCTTTCTTCCTTCCCTTCCCTTCCGCGTTGCCAGCCACAGCCGGGCGGGGAACGGGAGAGAAGGAGCAAACACGACCGGCTGACGTTTGGCTCACTTTGTTCAGTTTTACGACACTTAAATTAATTTGTTTTTTTTTTTAAAGAAAAAGTAATTAATACTGGGGTAAAATAAAAAGAGTTCATCAATGCCAGGAAAATCAATTTCCTAAATGTTCTAGCCGATGGCTTTTCAGTACATTAAACAAAGTTTCATAAATGTCTCCGCGCTCCCGCCTTGGCCTAATATGAAGAAAAAGTCATTTTCCTGGAAGTGAGGTCGGTTACCAATATGCCAAAGGCACCAGAAGCTTGTGGGGGAGGCTGGCAGCAAAGAGACCCTTTCCCCCCCCCCCCAAAAAAGCAGCGAGGTGGGGACGAAAGCAAAGGCGGGGGAGAAGGAGGGCAAAAGGAACCACAGGGGAAAAAAAAAATTAAGCCTTATAAAAGTTGTGGACAAAGTAGCCCGAAAGACATTCTGATTGACAGCGTGAACGAGTGCGTGTGAAAAAGCGTGTATACAAACACGTATTCTTCATTCCAGTCCCAATTGAGTTGCTTAATTACTTGTCCCGGATGCATTCTGAATCTGGGTATGTCTATCCATGGTTATTAACAAAGTTGTCTAAGTGGAACGTAGATGACAACAACCGAGTGTCAGCTTGGAAAAAGCAATGAGTTTTTCCTAAAAAAATTTTTTTTAAAAGCAAAACCCGAACCTTTTTAGCAAAATTCCCAGCGGCATCTAACCGGCCCCGGTGGGAAGAAGGGGTGTGTGACCCGGAGGCTCCGCTGCTCTCCTCCAGCAATGCTCTTTGCAGCTTTAAACAAGTTGTGGTGTATCAAAACAAGGGTGACAACATTCTCATCTTCCTTTGCGGCCAACCAACTCGGGATGTCTTATCCGTTCCCAGATACCGCCCACTGAGATCCCGACAGGAGGTGGTCAAGACTCAATTGACTTTATCTCCAGCACTTTCCCAACATTAGAGGCCCTTCACTTGGTAAACACTATCCACAGGTTGGTTGTCAGAACCAGCTCGCGAAAGGCTGGCAGACAGGCTAATATGGACGCGACGGGAAGGCCCCAGCGTCGGGTTCTGTTTATTCCCATTTTGCCCTTGAAGGATTGAGTAACGGGAGACAACTTGAGTGCCGAGAAGGGACTCAACTCTCCCGATGCCATCTCCCTTTCTGCCTGCGACTCTCCCGTCGGTCTCACAGATCCTTGGAAATGCACCATTCCCAAGATAAAAGGGACGCTCCGATAATCAGCCAAGCAACTGATGGGCTGACTCTCCCTATTCAAGAGGCAATATTCCTCTGATTGCCAGACTCTGGGGAGCAGTCAAATGACACCGAGGGACCGTCTCAATTACATCCAGCTTGTGGGCGGTTGGAGAAGACGCAGCCGAGCACTTACAGGAGGCAAGCCGCGAACCGGCTAGGCCTTTGTTCTCATCCTACAGAGCCCATTTGACTATAGGCCTTACATTGCAATGTTATCGGGTCGCTGAAGCCAAAGCGCCAACAAAAAAGGCGTTTCTGGCTGTTGGAAAAAGCTGTCTGGAAGTCTGGAGGACAAAGAAGATCACCCAGCTTTTCTTCCCAAAGTGGCTTTCTGCGGGGGCCCTGAGCCTCAGCGAGTCCCTGTCAATTAAAGGTCAGGCTGGCTGAGAATTATGGACCGTCAAAGTCCAAAAACAATTAGAAAGGGCCGCCGCCGTGTTTGAGGAGGCCGGCTGTAATCTGCAGCTTCCCAGGATGAAGTGGCTTTCGGCTGTCTCTTCTCTGTTTATTTATGCCACCCAATTTATGGGCTGCACTCTTGAGTGGCTGATGGCCCTAAGATCACAAACATTGCCGGATTATGAAAACATGCAGAGTTCCAATGTAAACCTTTTGTAAGTTTTAAGAGCGCAAACAGGGGAAGCTCCAGAGCAGGCACACTGCTCCGAGGAAATCAGGAGAGATGAGGATGGAGGAGGAAGGAGATCGTTTATCCTGGACCGCAAATGGTCCCAGCAGGCAGTGCTGCTGGTCACTGGGAAGGACTGGCTTTTATTGGTGCAAAGAAGGAGAAGATTCTCACGTGCCAGCATCGGCTTTGCTTCCGAAAATCCTGGACGGGGCGGACTTCAGCAACCGTCTCAGATCGGTCTGGCTCAGAAGAAGACAGCGGTTCCCAAAGAGCCACGGAAAGGACTGAGGTTCGGTTTTAAAATCACCAGGCAAGCAAAAGGAGCTGGTTCAAGGCCCGCGATCTCTACATTGCGCTGGGGAGAAAGACTTCAGCTTGAAAGCTGCTCAGCCTTTGGGCTAAGATCAAGGGGTAGCACTTGCTGCCAAAGCATGTTGCAGCTGATGTCTTGCATGTCCCACTGGAGCTTCGGGGAAAAGAAAAAAAAAAACCTAAAATCCCTTGTTAAGAGGTGTGTGGGTCTGGGGCAGCTAAAAAGGGTGAGGAGGAAGTGGGAAGCCTTTGATGCCAAAAGGCGAGAAAAAGAGGATAAAGAGCTGGGAAATGGGGAGAGAAAGAGAGAGAGGAAGAGAGGGAGGGAGGGAGAGAGGGAGGGAGAGAAAGAGAGAGAGGAAGGGAGAGAGAGGGAGGGAGAGAGAGGAAGGGAGAGGGAGGGAGGGAGAGAGA